TGACAGTTCCTGGGGGCCGGTTCACAGTGGGCAGCGCCCCAGCTAACGAAGGCCACATAAGCTGTAGGTCTGTGGAGGGGAGATACTGGGAGAGACAAAAGGATCCCACATTCATCCTCATCTATATCAACTCAATCTATTATCTCTCTCTCCCACAGCAGCCCTGACCGTGCTGCCTGTGTTTCTGTTGACTGCGTAAATATTTTGTCTTACCAACAGAATGATGACATTTGAAGACAGGAAATAGAACTTATTTTTCTGGCTATCTCCCAGATAAATTGTTATAAACCAAAACTGTGGACACATGGAATGTTAGGCAGAATAATGGCTCCTAAAAATATCCACTTCCTGATCCCCAGAACCTGCGAATATGTGACCTTATGTGGCAAAAGGGATGTTGCAGATGAGTTTGGAGATTCAGCTAAGAGTATTGCAGGCCGCCAATGTCATGGCTCAGCCCTGGTCAATCCCAGCACTTGAACAGACTGAGGCAGGACGGGTTTGCTTGACGGCCAGGAATTGGAGACCACCCTGGGGGCCAATATAGAGAGCCCGTATCTACAGATTTAAAAATTAGCCAGGCATGGTGGTATGCTGCCTATACGTTCCACGGCTCCAGGCAGAAGATGGCTTGAGCACAGAAGTTGGAGGTTGCTGGGACGCCTATGACTGCACACTGCGCATTCCAGCCTGGGATGACCAGCAACGAGACTCGGCGGCTATCTCCACAAAAAGAGCCGCGAGCAGACGCAGAAGATTCTGCGATTTTTGCAGAACACATCATCTGGTTATTCTCAGATGTGTCCAGTGAAAAACCACCTCCTGAGTGGGGAAGGCTGGGCATGGCTGGTTCAACCTGCAATCCCAGCACTTTGGCCAGGCAGAGGCACAGATGGATCACCTGACACGGTACTGAGGCGGGAGAGCGACTGGGCAACAACGGGTTAAGTGCGCAAACCCTGTCTCTGACTACACACAAAAATGATAGCCGGGCGTGGGTGCAGCGCCTGTAATTCCAGCTACGCAGGAGACTGCGAACAGGGAGAGAGACACTGTGAACCTGGGCGGTCAAGCTGCAGTGAAGCTGAGATCGAGTCATTGCACCCAGCCTGGGGGGACAAGAGTGATAGCTTGTGTCTACGAAAAGAAAAAGCAAAACACAACAAGAAAAAGTGGGGAAAGTAGTCTCGAGCTCATCAGACAAGTAATGTGACAATGGGAACACCAAGTAAAGTGATGTGGGGGCCATGAGCCAAGGAATATAAGGCAAAAATTAGCCGGGTGTGGTGGGCACGGCGCCTGTACGTCCCGGCTACTCCAGGAGGCTGAGGCACGAGATGCGATGAACCTGCAGCGGGCGCGGAAGTCTGCAGTGGAGCGAGATAGGGCCCCACGCCCACCTGGGCAACAGAGTGAGACTCCATCTCAAAAAAAAAAAAAAAAGAAACAATGTTAGTGGGCCATAGGCGACGTGCGTTGAGGTGAGCGTTCACCCACAGTCCTAGCTACCCAGCCTGGGCTGATGCCTCACACCTGTAATCCACACTTAGGGAGGCCCAAGGCAGGTGGATCACTGTGAGACCAGGAGTTCAAGATCAGCCCTGGGCAACAGGAGGAAACCCTGTCCTTACGCTAAAAGTAAAAAAATTAAGCGGACATCGGTTGCAGGCACCTGTAATCTCAAGCCGGGGCTGAGGGCAGCGAGAATCGCTTGAAGACCAGAGGTGGAAAAAAAAAAGAAGCAGCACGCTGGGGCAAAGGGGGCATCATGCCTCTAATCCCAGGCAGCTTTTGGGGGAGGCGCGAGGTGGGTGCGATCACTTGAGGTCAGGAGTTTGAGACAGACTGACCACCCATGATGAAGACCCAACCTCTACTAAAGTAAACCCAAATTAGCTGGGTGTGGTGGTGCACGCCTGTATTCCCAGCTACTCGGGAGGGCTGACGGCTGAGAATCTCTTGAATACAGAGCGGAGGTTGCGAGGAGCTCAGTTCTACAAAAAATTGTTTAAAATTAGCTAGCAGTGGGCCGTGGCGCGGTGGCTCAACGCCACAGCCAGTGGACTACCCGAAGTACTCAACTGTAGCGGGCCCCACCTGCACGCTGCAGCAGCTTACGACTTCTCAGGCCCTGCCACTTTATAACGACAGCAGCCCGCCAAGTCCGGTCTCTATCAATCAAGAAGGGCAAGTGCGAGAGTGGGAGCAGTCAGTCCTCAAAGCCTTCCTTCCTGTCTCCGGGGTGTGTACGTTGCCAGTTTCAGGACAAATTGAGGAAATAGAGACACTGAAGCCAGTTTGTTCAGAAGCGAATCATAGACGGTTGAAAGCCCAGCTCAGTTCTGAAATTATGTTCTTGATATTTACATGAAATTATGCTGAGAGTAGATGAGAAGTTTTATTTTAATTTGGCAAAACGAAAAGTTGACTTTGTTCTTCACCCAAAATTTTGGAAAATTTCCTGATCTGTGACATTCTAATTTCTGTTGAGATGCTGGTGTACTTGTGACTCAGAGAAGCCCATGGGCTAGGAGAGGAAGGGAATGGACCATGCAAACCCGTTCGCAGCGTTACACAGAGAGAAAGAGATGCCGAGCCTCTCCTCATTGTTTTCATTATGCAGCATGTCAACATCTCAAAAAGTAAAGAGAGTAGCATCTACTATCACTGAGCTTCAAAAATTATCAACCAAGGAGGGCCAAGCTTAACTTACCTTTACTCCTGTCTACTTCCCCTTGGATTTTTTTTTTTTTTTTTTTTTTTTTTGAGACAGAGTCTTGTTCTGTTGCCCAGACTAGAGTGCAGTGGCAAGATCTTGGCTCACTGCAAACTTCACCTCCCAGGTTCAAGCAATTCTCCTGCCTCAGCTTCCCAAGTAGCTGGGACTACAGGCGCCTGCCACCACATCCGGCTAATTTTTATATTTTTAGTAGAGAAGAGGTTTCGCCCACTTTGGCCAGGCTGCTCTCAAACTCCTGACCTCAGGTGATCCACCCACCTTGGGCTCCCAAAGTGCTGGGATTACAGGCGTGAGCCACCGCGCCCAGCAAGTTTCCGTTTTAAACACCCCACAGTCTCTGTATTTCCTGTGAATTGGTAGTTGGATCTATAGGCTTGTTTGTATTTATGTTCAATCTTTTTTTCAAAAAAATATTTCAAAAATAGTGTTGAGCATGCTTTCCTCACAGACACACAATGACCGATTGTCTCTTTGTGGTGTTGGCAGCCATTGGTGCTTGATGACAAGATTCACAGTTCATTAGGAGTGCTTCTTTGTTTCTATTTGGTGAGGTGACCAGGTGACCAACCCTTCCCAGTTCACCTGGAACTTCCCCAGTTTTAGCACCTTCGGTCCCATGTCCCAGAAAACCACTCAGTCCCAGGACAGCTGGTCACCCTGCAGGAAAGCCATGTTTTAGGCAGTGACTCTTCCCACCCCTACTCTGCCTCCCTTTGCCATAGTGGGCAGAGAAGTAGGAGACAGGATGTGGATAACGGGCTGGAGAATGCAGGGGGAGGGGTCTGTATCAAGTGGCCAGTCTTGGGTGTAAATGACACCTTAGTGGTTGTCCACCTAGTGTCCACTTCCACCTTCTTGCAATCCTCTGATTTTTGATTAGGTAATGGTCCCTACCCACAGCCCACATGCTTCACGGGCACTTGTGATAGCCCCAGCTCCCATGACCAGCTGCTCCCGTCTAGAACCCAGATGAAGCCAGTCAGTGCAAGCCAGTCCCCGTGCCACACCTTGGGCCAATAAATCACAAGAGGTAATTTGTCAGAGGCATTTGGAAAACGTTTCCTTATTCTTCTTTTTAAAACTTTTATTTCCTTTTTTTCATCCAGAATTTCTGATGAAAATCACTCTTTAAAATATGTATATGTGTATGTATATATGTATACACACACACACACACACACACACACACACCATTCAACCATTGGCTAGGCATGGTGGCTCACACCTTCCAGCACTTTGGAAGACTGAGGCAGGAGGATATCCTGAGCTCAAGAGTTCGAGACCTACCCAAGCATCATAGTGAGACCCCATCAGAACAAAAAGATTTGTTTAATTAAAATATATACATAATTGAATTTTATTTTATATGTTATGTATATATCTATATATACACCATATATATAATTCAAATAGTTGAATTTTAGGCTGGTCGAGGTGGCTCACACCTGTAATCCCAGCACTTTGGGAGACTGAGGCAGGTGGATCACACCTCAGGTCAGGAGTTCGAGACCAGCCTGGCCAACACGATGAAACCCCATCTCTACTAAAAATACAAAAATTAGCTGGGTGTGGTGGCAAGCACCAGTAATCCCAGCTACTCAGCAGGTGAGTTTATGTTACTTTGTGTAAACATATGCTTTCATTCCTCTCAGTCAGAAATACCTAGGAATAAAATTGCCAGATGAATTTATGTTTACATTTTTATTAAACTTTCTAACTACTTTCCAAAGTGGCAGGCCTCATTTTACTTTCCTACCAGCAATGTGGGAGTGTCTCTGTTTCTCCATATCCTCACCACTTATTATTCTGTTTTTGGGTATTAGTCATCCTAGTGGATATGAAGTGGTATCTCATTATGCTTTTTTTTTTTTTAAAGACAGGGTCTCACTCTGTTGCCCAGGCTGGAGTGAAGTAGCGTGATCTCAGCTCACTGCAACCTCCGCCTCCCGGGCTCAAGCATTTCTCCTGCTTCAACCTCCTGAGTAGCTGGGATTACAGGTGTGTGCCACCACACCTGACTAATGTTTTTGTATTTTTAGTAGAGGTGGGGTTTCACCATGTTGGTCAGACTGGTCTCGAACTCCTGACTTCGTGATCCGCCGGCCTCAGCCTCCCAAAGTTCTGGGATTAGTTGTGAGCCACCGCGCCCGGCCCTATTTAGCATCTTTTCATGAAACATTTCCTCACTCTCAAGAGCGAGAGATGAAGAAACAGCTTCTTCTAAAGTGATATGGAGTTTGGGATCTTCCCACCATCCTAGGATGAAGCTGTCTCAGAGGAGGGCAGAGCTCAGAAAACTGAACAGAAACACGGTCAGACTCCTGATGAAACAGCACATGAACTTCATCCAACGTCTGGACTCTTCCTCAGTTACAGGTGCCAATAAATCCTTTGTATTGCCTAAACCAACTTGAGCTGGATTTTGTGTTACTTGCATTTCACTGAGCATCATGGAGTGACGCAATGTTCCTTATTAATTCTGGGGCAAAGATTGAGCATTTGAGAATCAACTTTGCATGCTTGCTGTGGTGAAGACAAATAACTCAGTTTGAATAGGACAAAGAATTTGATACAAGGAGGCAACTACAGCAGAGAAATCAAGGAATAAGAAAAGAGGATGATGCCTGGGTGCAGTGGCTCATGCCTGTAATCCCAGCACTTTGGGAGGCCAAGGCGGCAGGATCATTTGAGCCCAGGAGTCGGAAGTTGCTGTGAACTATGATCATGCTCCTGCACTCTAGCCTGGGCCACAGAGCAATACCCCTTCTCTACAAACATAAAAGAGACTGGTGTGGTGGCTCATACCTGTCATCCCAGCACTTTGGGAGACCGAGGCGGGCGGATCACCTGAAGTCAGGTGTTCAAGAACAGCCTGACCAACATGGTGAAACCCCTGTCTCTACTAAAAATACAAAATTAGCTGGGCGTGGTGTCTCATGCCATAATCCCAGCTACTTGGGAGGCTGAGACAGGAGAATCGCTTGAACTCGGGAGGCAGAGGTTGCGGTGAGCTGAGATCCATTGCACAATGGCCTGGGCAAGAAGAGCAAGACTCCCTCTCAAAAAAAATGAAAAACAAAACAAAACAAAACAAAAAACAGAGAGCAAGAGAGAGGATGGTACAGAAAAGGGAATGAGCTAAAATTGGGATTTTCAAGACGAGAACACTAACCTGAACCACGATGCAGAGTATTATTTAAGCTACAGCTAAGAAATTTGTAATATGAATAGTTCCTTTGTAGAAAGAACAGGAAATTGATATCAGAATGAATCCCATTGTATAGAATCTGTAATGTGTTGTGTGCCTTTTTATTAACATTGTAGAGTTCTCCTTCCTTTGGATGGCTTCCTCCATTTACCCTTTCCTCATTGTAAAAAGTCAAATGGCCCCCAAAGGGTAAGAGATACAATA